ACTAATGGCAGTGCTTCTTCTACTGTAATAACTTTTTCAAAAAAATAGTCACTATAGTTTTTTATTTCTATATTGTAACCATAGTTTTGATTTTGGAGGGGTATTGGGCATGAACTCATGACCTCACACTTAGTAGGCAAGCACTTGAGCTGCTGAACTAAATCCCCAGCCCATAGTTTTGATTATACCTCCATATTAACTAAAATTTAGTAATTTAGTATTGAATTTGATAACTAGAATTTAGTATACTATTCCATTTATCTAGTACTGTGTAACATACCACTTTAACTGTCATGACTTAAACATCAGCAATCACTTCACTTGTGAATCTTAACTTGAGCAGGGGTTGGCCAGATGATTTTTTTTGGCTCTAAGCATATCTGCTGCAGTGACTTGGGGACTGGAGGTGACTGAAGACTTGTTCACACACAGTCCCAAGTTGCTGCATGCGTTTAGACTTTAGCTGGAGCTCTGGTCTGGGCTATTCTCGTGCTGCTTTAACATGTAGCTTGCTGGCTTGCTTGCCATATGGGTGCATCCCTCACAGCATGATTGGAAGATCGTCAGAGTGAGTATATCAGCAAGGCAAGGTAGAAGTCCATAGCATTTCTACGACTCAGTATCAGAAATCACATACTTCTGCACTCTTGATTGAAACAGCCATAAAGGGTACTGAAGTTCTAGGAAGAGTCACAAACTCCTTTACTTACTGCACGGAAGAATACCATTCTTAAGAACTCAGAGATGAATTATTATATTGGCCAATTTTGGAAAAGTGTTCTATGTTTACTATTTCGTGATTTTTGACAAACGTATGCAAAGAGTACAGTAAAGTCCTATCAGGTGGATAGAACTTAGGACTGTTAAGTCCTTTCTCCTGTATTACTCCAAACCAGTTTTTGTTTTCATCATTGAATTGCTTGTTCAAATGTTGACCCACACCCCCTTTAGAAAAATATTTAAAAAGAAAGTTTTGTTATTTATTTGCACACTAATTATATATTTTTATGTAGCCCAAGACAGTTTCTGTTCACTTAAAAAATAAAGGCAAATAAGTGGGGTGTAGGTTGGATACAACTGCACTAGGACTTAATGTAAATGGGTCATGCAATGCTTTTGTGTTGACAAAGGTTTCTTTGACTCAGCATGGTTTTGGGATTCAGCCATGTCATTTAAGGTTTACGTAGTTTGAAACTATTCTTTTGTTTAAGGACATCTTGGCTGTTTTGAGTCCTGGCTATTATTAAAGCTGTACTTATTATTTACGTGGAGAAATAATTATATGGACACATGATAGGTTTTTTGTAGGTAAATACCTAGGAATGCAAATAACGTTATAGGCTTACTTTATAAATAATTATCAGATGTTTTTCTCATAATAGTCCTTTTATTTATATTATCACCAGTTTGTGCAAGTACCAGTTGCCTTACATTCTTTGAGTATTTAGAGCTGTCAGTCTTTTTAATTTAGCCTGTCAGGTGGGTGTATAGTCATTTGTCTTCGTTTCTTGAAGGATATTTCAACTTGAAATTCCAAATTGGAGAATTTTTCTTCCACATTTGTTTGCTGATGAGAAGTTTGGTTCTACCTAACCTTCCTACCCCACCCTTAGGCCTTTTATTCTGTATTTTGAGATTGGGTCTCACTGAGTTGCCCACGGTGGTCTTGAGCTTGTCATCTGCCCACCCCAGCCTGCTAATGAGCTGGGATTCCAAGTATGTGCCACCGCGCTCAGCTCTGGCCTCTTAAGGTTCTGCTCGTCACTGTCTTATGTTTGTGATGGCCCAGCTGAGAGTTGCAGAGGGTTCTGTTTTGTTCTGTTACGTTTTTAAAAGAGGAGTTCATATGTTGTTTTCATCCAACTTGGAAAATTATTAGCTGTCATTTCTTCTTAATGTATTTTTTTAACCACACCGTTTCATCTCTTCTTGGTGCTCCAGTTAGATGTGTGTTAGACCATTGGATCTTTTTCACAGGTCATTAGCATCCTGTGTATTTCTTCATTTCTTTTGTCTTTCATATATGTTTGTTGGCTTTTTTCCCCACTATTTTTCTCTTTCAATGATAAATAATTTCAGGTACTGTATTGCGTGTCTAGAAGTTCATTTGACTCGTGTTCATGGTTTCAGTTGATTGTATATTTGGGTGTATTCGTAAAAGATACTTGAGAATCCTTGTTCTATTGACTCCATCAGCTTTTTCAATCTGGATGTGTTGGTTTTTATCTTGATCGTGGTTGTCAGATTGACTGTTGTAGTTCCATGATTTTGTGCAGGTAACCTCATTTTACTTTGTGCTAATGGTCCTAAAACAAGATCAGTACTGCTGGCAGTATGAGTATGTCAAAAAGACGCTATAAAGTGCTTCTCTTAAGTATCAAACCTCATCATGAAAAGAAGGGTGTTAGTAGAGTACAACTATTTTCAGAAATAGGCACATTTTTATTGTAGTACATTGTTATAATTGTTGTCTTATTGCTATAAACCTCTTACTGTGTCTCATTTACAAGTTAAACTTTTAAGTATGCATGTTCTGTACAAAGACTTGGGTACTATCTACAGTTTCAGGCAGCCACAGGAACTGCGATTTTGGTCTCTGAATAAGGGGGAATTACTGTACTGTATGTTAAGTGACATGTTTGGTAGGCTAGGTTATTAAGCAAATGATTGACTTGTGAGATTTTCAGCTTTCAAGGAGCATGTAGTCAGTTATTTCTGGCTTTTTTCATTTAATGAGTTTGTGAGATTTATTGCTGACATAGTTATTTAGTAGTAGTTCTGAAGTATTTGTTTTGGGAATATACTGCTATTGTTGGTCATTTTAGTCATTTGTGGTTTGTGGCTATTGAGAGAATTTCAGCTCTGAGCATTTCGGTGAATGTCCTTTTATGAACATATGTACTTACATCTATTTCTGTTACTTGGTAAATTTTCCAGTCATAGGGTGTGTACATAGTTTTAGTATATACTGTCAACATTTTTTGACAGTGGTACCAGTGTTAATTATGCCACTTAAATATACTATACTTGAATAGCTGGTAGCAAGTTCTTTGAAAAAAAGTGACGTTATTCTTCTATTAGAAATAAAACTTTTTTGATTATTATATATTTAGTCTATTAAATATATTCTTGTTAAATTGCCACTGCATTAAATTTATGTTAACGTGGGAAGAAATGATACCTCCTTTTGTTCATACATGAATTACATTTGGAACTAGCTCAAGATATCTTGTCAAGCAATAGATCCTGGTTCATTTTTTTCCCACCTGTGCCACAGAGGTGTGATAACAAGATTACTCTTACTATAAAAATAAGAATATAGATGAAATAATCCTTTTCAATTAGTTAGCAGCTGACTATAGCTATAATATAAAGAATAAAATTACAGATATAAGGCAGAAATGAATAAATTCTTTTATGGTATTGGGAACATACATTTATATACAGAGGAGACAGTGGTTGTGCATAGGAGAGGCATTTAGAAGGACACCTTGCCCTGAGGCAGCTCCTTAGTGACAGGGCTAGCTCTTGCACCTGGAAGCGATGTTGGTACCATCTGAGGGAGATGCTGTAAAGGCCCTGGGTAATGTCTGAAGGGTATATCCTTTTGGCACTGGGAAGGCACAGAAATGTTTGAAGATTGGAGTATTATGGCCAGAGTCTAATTTTTAGGAGGATAATTCAGCAGCAGTTTTGAAGGAAAAGGTAAAATGAATATGAGAATAAGGTGGCTTTTAAATGTGGCATTGTTGGTAAGCATGGATAAAAACATTTTAAAGGTGTACAGTTTGAACATACATTTTAAAAAGTGGGGTGCAATGAATGAGCATAACCTTAATGTAAATTTAGGTTTGAATCTTAACTTTGCACTTATTGAAGAACCTAAAATGAGTCATTTAAAAGTTTCATCATTTGTAATGTGTTTATGATTATTTTAAAGCACTGACAGTAAGAAAGAAAGTAAAGGATGTCCAAATGCTCTCAGAGTGCAGTCTGGAAAGACAGATTTTGGCCAAATTGTGTAATTATTTTTGACAGGATTGGGTGATTAGGTTTAATTCTGAAGCAAGTAAGAAGCATCAGAAGAACTAGAGGTAGTATTGGAGGATGGGGGAATGCCTTATGTAGAATTGAGCAGATTGTTACACTAGGTAAGAGAGAAACTGAACACAACTCAAGCTTTGCTGCTTTGGGTAACTAGATTGATAGTTCTCCCGTTACAGAATTTAGTGTGTGATAACCCTTGATCATCCTTCATGAAGGATGTCTTTTCCTCCAGACTAAGTCAGGACTCTTTATTATAGTGTATATCTTCTCTAGTCCTTAACTGTGTGTTCTAATTACATGATTTACTACGGTCTTTATTATTTGTGCCCATCTCCCTCACAACGCAAGAGAACTGTAAGCTTTTTTGTAATGGATTTCATCCACTTGGTAGGCAATCTAATTGTTGTATTTTGAATGAATGATTATTAAGAATTTGATGATTGAGAATTAGTAGTTAGGCTAAATAAAAATGAGGGGGAGAAAATATTGAATGGTACCGATTTTTTTTTCTGTACCTAGAAAGACAGCAAAATCAGGAATACTCAAAATATACTGAATTTTCTATGAAATGATTGAATTTAGTTTTACAAACACCGTCCTTAAGTGCTAATGAGATTTTCAAATGATTGTCTACCTTTGATAACTGGTAGTTACAGACTAATAGCTCCAACGATAAGGGCTTAAAAAATGTGCAGTTGAGGGTATAAATATAAAGGCATAATGGGAGTGGGATCTGTGGATCCCATAAATGCATATTAAATCACAGATTCATGCATTCCCGCCTCATGCACTGAATCAGAGTCTCTGGTTGGAACCCAAGAGGGTACATTTTTGTATATTCCTCAGGTGATTCTGTTGTAGACCAAAGTTTTAGATTCAGTTCTTAGAAGTCTTAAAATTGGGTTAATTCTATTAAAAATAATGCAGTATTCATTTTCTTCCATTGGCTTTAGGATACTGGGTGGATTTAAAGGAACGAATTAAAAGACATTAATTCCTGTTCCACTGAGGAATGCCGATTGTTTACAAATGACTTAAGAATTTACAGAGATTATTTTGGTTCTTGCTTTTAAGCTTCTGAATAAATTTTTTTTTGAGAGGTAAGAATTAAGTTTTAGTAGTTGTTTAGTGGTTTATATAAGTATGATCATTGTCACAGTATGTAGAACCTGTTATATGCTAGGAAGGTATTCTGTGTGCTTTTAAGTACATTTTCTCCTATACAACAGCCTGACACTTGAAATTCCAAGGAACCTCTAGTAGTTGTTACGCTAGGACTAGTAGTAGGCAAATGATATTTACATAGCAGATACTCAGCATATAAAACTTAATTAAAAATAAAATTAAGTATCGGAAGGGACTAGAAGCATGTAGTGCGACAGTTTTTATATATTTTTAGCCTATTTTTAGGGAAGGTAATGAAATGGAAAGCACTATGTTTTGTGAATGAAAATGGGAAACATTTCATTCACGAATGAATGAATGAAATGGTTTCATCAGCTGACAGTGTACAGGCCACAGGCCTGCCTGACCACCCTGCCACACATTCTGGCAACAATAGCAGGGTAATTGTCTTTTGATACATTTTTGGGTGTTCATAATTATTATGGAAGGTGAATTTGCTTTGATTTTATAATGAATGTTAGTAATTTTTAAAAAAGTTTATCCAGTTGTCTATATAAAAAGAATTGAGTGAGGTGTTTTATATTTTAGGTTAAAAATCTGTAAGAGGCTGATTTTAGAATTCACCAGCTCCTCAGAAGTTTGGCGAAATATGGTATGTTTCTGTTTTATTTTTTGAAATTCATATTGCATGAATTATCTTAATGTCAGTTGCATGCAGCAAATTAGGGCATCTTTGATTTTTAAAGTGTTACACTAATTTGGAAATAACAGTGCTAACAGGTAGACTGATGAGGGACCCAAGTAGTGTACTGAAGAAACTCACAGGAGGTTGGTATGCTGTGAGGCAGATACAGAGTCTTGAGCTGAAGAAGAGGGAGGAGGTGCATTTGCAGTAGGCCTTGAGGGTCAGCATTGCTCCCACTTGTGAGCGTGTAAAATGCTAGCTGCTTTTGTGAGCAGCTCAGATCTTAGCTGATTCATCTTCATGACAGATACTGCTGCGGTCTTAATCCCGTCTGTAAGGAAAGGAGGTTCAGAGAGGTTAAATAACTTGCCCAAGATTTCCTGGCTAGCAGTAACTACACAGGGACATGAATCCAGACTGGCTTTGGAGCCTGTTTGTCTGCTGTTGAGCATTGGACCTCATAAAAGAGGGAACTGGAAGAGTACTTGACTTAGTAATTTTCAAAATATGTTGTTCAATAAGCCAATGAAAGATTCTCTAACGTTTAAAATTTGTGTTTAGAAGTTGGAAAGTTTGATTCATTTGGATCATATAAATTTACACACACTGTTAATCCCATGAGAAGTCAAGAGAGAACGAACTGCCTTTGTCACAGTGTTCTTTAGGACTGCCATTGCTGGTCTCACCTCAGCAGTGCCTAAGTCCTTGTTAAGAGACACAGAGTCACGGTAGATAGGGTAGCAAGTTATTTCTTCAGGGGACTATAGATCCTGTCTGTTGGGATTCCCTAAACTCAGGCCAGCCTAGTCAGTGTCTGGATTTGAAGCCCTGTATTTATAGCTGTAAAGGTTGGGCTCAAGCATAGAGCTGTTCGAACCCTTCTCTTGGGGTTTGCTTATACACCTTGCTATTTTGTGTTAGATTCTGAATCTGTGCTGTTGAACTACTTTCTCTCCTCATCTGTTAGTTTGAAGACAGTGATTTTGAAGGGTCTTGGTCCCTCCTCATTTTCTCATCTTTCCTTAGTCCATGCCTCAGTTTTGGCCTGGTCATGAGTAAAAAAATTAGTTACATGAAATGATCCAGGACTTTTCAGATGAATGTCTTTGCCAGAGTTACAGTATGGTTAAGAGGGTCTACTTTAATTGGCTTACAGTATGGTTAAGGGGTCTCTCAGAAAAATTTGGTTAAGACCATGTATGGGAGAAAAAAATAGTCTGTTAAGGGAGCTTGCTTCATATTTTGCAGTATTCTTTACTAAAATAGAATGTAAATGGTTTAGGACTGAGAGCAGAACACATTATTTTTGTGCAGCACCCAAGGACTTTTAGCCGTCAGATGACTATTTAAATACAGAATAAGTAGGACTTGAGGTGTGTGTGTGTGTGTGTGTGTGTGTGTGTGTGTGTGTGTGTGTGTACAAAACTGTTTCAGTATGAATTTGGCTACCTGGTGACTGCTTTTTCCATCACTTTAAGAATCCTGTGATTAAATTAGTCCCATTTAAAGTACTGACAAAATGGTCAGGTCTTATTCCACAGTCTAAATTCTCGATCATTTATGTGTATGTAAATCATAAAACCATACCAAAACTAAATCAAAGCAAAACAAAAATCTTCTTAAGTAGAAAGTTAGTAGATCTTGGTTTTAGCTCTCATTTCAATACTAATTCTAAAATCTTGGGCAAGTTGGTTAATCACTCTGAGGCTTACTATTATTATTATTAAATCAGAATAGCTGCCTGGATTATGGAGGGGCCATATGAGATTCAAGATACTGTTAACCAAAATGCTTTGTTAAGTCATGTTAAAAATACACAAGAGATTATGACATTTTAAGTCCCTTAGCTAAAATACCTGGGATCAGACATGCTTCAGGTGTCTGTTCTACGGATTTTGGAGTATTTGCATAGATCTCCCTGGTTGAACGTACCTCATCCAAAAATCCAAAATCCAAAATCTGAAATGTCCCAGAATCCAAAGCTTTCAGTTGCTGACATGACTGTAAAAAGTTGAGGACTTTAAGTGTTTTAGACTTTTGGGTTAGGGATATTTATACCACATTTTCTCAAGTGAAGAGATCATTTTAAGAAAATATCATGCTGAAAAATAGTCTGTACAAGATTTTGTATTGTAGTTATTCTTTTGAGAAAATTTTCATTGCCATATAAATTGAAGGTTTGAAGATAATTTATTAAACAATGATTGGGTTTATATATTAAAGTGTTCTAACTGAAGATTTGTTTAATTTATTAGAGATATTAAGCCTACCATCAGATCAAGTTAGCAGCTAGACTCGTGTGACAACCTGTTTTTAATCAGTGACTCAAAGCTGTGATCACCCTGATGTCACCGAATGGCCACAGCTAGTAAAAGGTAATTTTGAATATTGTTTTACAGCCTTTAAAAGGCTGTCATTGTAAAGTGAAATACATGCTGTAAAAAAATGAAGAAAATGTATAGTTGGCAGGAATATTGTTAAGAATAGAGGACCTGAGAGTCAGCCTATTTTTCCACTGAACTTCCTTCCTAAAATATTTGTCTTCACTCCCCTCTCCTGAGATTGAGTATTTCAGCAAAGATACAAACAGTTTCTCAATATGCATTTTACAGTGTGCCTTTTATGTGGTGGAAATTTAAATATCTCTCCAGAAACGTGTGCAGCATGAATAAAACTAGTATACTTTTCTCTCCTAGAAAGTTACAGTGAAGTTAAGGAGTGGCTTACACAGCAGAGAAACTACACCAGTGTTACTGGGAGTGAGCCACCATTTGAATTTGCTAGTGTTCAGATAATGTGCTTTTGGGATCCCTTATTTTCTGTCATTTCAAATCAAGGCTTAACATTGAGATGAGAGTAATAAGATTTAGTTTTTATTTTTTAACGTTACTTTGTTATATTTTTGTTTTAAAGCACCTTTTTTAATTTATTATTCCGGGAAATTTTTAACTTAAGTCAGCAATGTTGTAAAAATGAGATTTTCCCTTTTAGTGAATATTCTGAATTGGTAAAATTAGTACCATATACTAAGTCTTATTTCTTGCATACTGGCAAAAGAGAATAAATTAGCTCCTAGGCAAAAACAAACATAGGAGCTATTATTAGATGTATGTCTGTGTCATAGTTTGGAGAGTTTGAATCTTAACATTAGGATATTTTTGCTAACTTACTTATAGTATTATAGAAATAAACTATGAACAAGATGACTAGGAATTTACTCAGACATGCACTATTACTATAAGAAACTTATTTCTGGAGTTGTGTGTGTATTTACTTTTCTCTTGATTGAGAAGGTGTATAATTTGAATAGAAACCTGGTATGTCTCAGGGACACAGGACAGATTTGTTTTAGGATAACGGTTTTTCAATCCTTTCTTCCTCTTGTCCCTCTAGATTGAATTGGTTTAAATGATTTGGTTTGACTTTATGGATTAGTAGCTCACTTTAATATGTGTAAGCATTAAGTAGTAATATATTTTTGCAAACATTTGGTGCCATTTTGACGCTAACATTCACATTCTCTTGCTTAGGGAACCGCATACAGAAACTCTTTGATGGTTTGTTGAATCTGGTCCCATTTTAGGATCTTACACCTTTACTGTGCTTCCATGGTGTGCTTCTGAGATTGGATTTGTTTTCCTTCTTCCTCTGTGTCTTCCCTGTTTCCAGTAATATTTTTTCCTGTCATCATATCCTCACATTTTTCTCTCTCTGCTAATTTTGAAACTTTTGCTGCCTCTTTTAAAACTTCTAGTCTGTCTCTCTTCCCATAGTGCCAGCAGGTTTATTTTTTGTTTTGCAAGCCTCCTCTGCTTTCCTTCAGTGTGACGTTTGATGTTGGAGGGCTGTACTTTCAAAAGTGTGTCAGTTGGTACATGGGGTTATCAGCAGTTTCTTGCCCTTCTGTCTAGGCAGCACAAGTTTGGAAGCATTCTTGGGGTACTTACCCACAGGTCTGGTGGAGACCAGGTATGTGCCAGAGGTGATCGGTTTGCTTCCTGGGGGAGAGGATGGAGAAAAGTTTTGTGTTTGTTTTACCGCCACCTCAAACTTGCCCCTGTTTTTAGCGCTGATATAATTTTGTCAAAATTGAAAATAAAACTACAAAGATCTAAAATATTTAACCTGCTGGAGCCTTTTAAAAATTTTAATCTTTTTCTTCTTGATTTGGGATCTTAATGAATTGTAGTGAGTATTTTTTGAAAGGGAAAGGGATTTTGAAAGGGAAAGAGATTTTTTTTTTTAAAGCTAAGAAATTAGAAAACAGATTTTCATCATATTAGTGACTGATCTTAAAAGATTTTCTCCAAAAATTGTTGGAAGTCTAAAGGTAATGAAAAGTTCACAAATCAAATCTTTGCGTGCCACTTTGAAAATTTAGCTTTTGACCTAAGCTTGTTTTTAACTCATTTTAGAAATTTGAAGATGTTTGAAATAGGTATTACATTGATTTTCCTTTTGAAGTTAACTGTTATACAAACTGATTATAAGAATGAAGAAGGTAACAGATTTATTTTTAACAATATGAGAGAGATAGGAAAAATTGATTCATAACCCTTAAAATAGAAGTGAAAAATTGTTTAGAATTTTGAGTATTTCTATATACGCCAGCTATAGTATATTCAGAAAATTAAAAAAATAGCTAGAAGCTATATAAAGCTAATTAACAGTTTTCCATAGCAGAACATTTATATCCTAGATGATACACTTTTGACATTTAGTATAACCTGCCAATGTGTTTTTTAAGTGAAACTTAATTTCATTGTTGAAACCAACATAACTGTGGTCAGAACGGAACATCTGGTAGTAGTGTTCAGAATTCATCAAGGCTTAAATTTTAGTTTGAATTAACTAAAGCACCAGTTGGCAAACTTTTTTTAAAAGACCATATAATAAATAAGGTTTTGTGGGCACAGGTACTCAGCCCTTCTCTTTTTCTTGTGAAAACAACCAGAGGCAGTGCCTAAAGGAATGACAGAAACAGCTGGCTGACCCAAGCTTCAGTTTGTCTGCCCATGCTACAGTTTGCTGACCTCGATCTGAAGTTGGAGACTATGAATGCCACTTCATTTGATGTGGATAATAAATACTTGGCAATAGAAAATTTCATAGTTGTATGTTTTTTATTGTACATATTTGACTGTGTGAGTAATTTTGGATTATGTTGGTTTTTGTGTTGGTATAAGAGTGTTTGTAATTGCCTTTTAAAAAAAATTGAGTTTATTAGTCCAGCCCTTAAAATATATGTTGTACGGCAATCTGAGCTGACTAGTTTTTCTCATGTTAAAAGCTTTAATTATTTTTAAGATTCTTCTAGTTAGTGCTTAGATCTAGTTTTCAAATATGTCTTCCTTAAGTTACATGTCTGTCCCTTTTGGCATATAGACTGTTTTTCTAACTTTTCCTCACTTACGTTTTACAGATCACCAGGAGAATCCCAGTCTGACGACATTGAAGCTAGCCGAATGTAAGTATGGCTTGCCTGAGGCTGTGATATCTTTTCCGGTGCCCTAGGCTGCTTTAAATGCATTATTTGAAAATAATTGCCAGGTAGAAGAAGGTAATGATTTAAACATATCGAGAGAGGAGCATCCCTGTATTTCCCCTATTAAATGTCTCTAAAATTTGGACAAGCAGTTATTGAATGGCAACTATTAGATAGATAATTGGGGTGTTCTTGAAGTCTTTTTGTCTTTTTGTTCCCTTAGCAGTTGTGAGGAAAAAATTGAGTTTAGCAGTTGTATGCCTGCAGTATGTTGAGATACAAGAAAAGTTGGTTGTTACTCAGGAGAAGCTTACAGTTTACTTCCTCAGAGTGAAAACTGCAGAATCACATGTTGTCAATCACTGAACTGGAGTGATTCTCAGGGAACAGTGGGAGCGCAAAGACATACCAGGGGACTCAGTGTGTAGTAGGAATCTACTCTACATGGCAGGAAAATTGGGGTGACTAGGTGGGGTAAGTTAAATCTGAAGTGTTCTTGGAAGTTAGGCAATTGGAAGCGTGAGCAGGATTCATTGAGGCAAAAGCATGAGCAGATTACAAAACAGCATACAGAATGCAGAGGACAGTAGACAGTTGAGGACTTTTAGGTCAAACTGACCAGAAGTTAGGACAATGAAGATAAGCCTTCAGAGTTGGAAAACTCTAAGTAGAGTCTTGCATGCTGTGTGAAAGGTTTTGGCTTGTATCTCATAGTGATTTGGAATTCATACAGAATTTCTTTAATAATGAGTACTAACCCTGTCAGACATATGTTTAATAACTTTTGCTATAGAGGAGCGAAAGACTCCCTTTTGGGATTAAAATGGATTGAAGGAAGATGAGGTTAGTGTGTTTGTGGATGAAGCTGGCAAGCTTGAAGTTTTCCTCTCTAAAAACACGGGTAGTTCTTTTAAATGCTTATGTACATTGTGAATCTCCAACGAAGGGTGGTAAAATGCATTTTTAAAATATATGTGACCAGGGCTGGGGATGCAGCTCTGCAGCCCAGCACCTCCTTGGCAAGTTCAATTCCCGGTACAAACAAAACAAAACCATACATACGTACTACACACACACACACACACACACACACACACACACACACACACACATTCACACATAAAATAGTATATTTTTACCATTATAAATGTATACTTCAGTGATGTTATGAATGATAGTATTGTACAGTCATTGTAAGAACTCTTCATTTAGTAGTACTGAAATTCTGTACTCATTAAAAGGTAACTGTCCATTTTTATTGCTCCAGGCAACCAGCATTCTCCTTTCTGATTTTGATATTTTGGTAAATTTAAGTGCTTCATGTACCTGCGGTTATATTCTAGTTACCTTGTTGGTGATTGGCTTTAGTCCTCAGGGATCATCCATATTGTAGCACATGCCAAAATTGTCTTCCTTTTTTTAGGGTCAGTAGTAACTCAACTGCATTATATATCATGTTTTGCTTACTCAGTTATCGGTTAATGGACACCTGGGTTATTTTTATGTTTTAGCGATTGCTGGTATATGCTTTAAGATCTTAGATTCTTTAGAATGTATACTCAGCAGTGAAATTACTGGATCATATGTGAAAACTGTTTTTGAGAAACTGTTAGACTGATTGCCACTGTTTCTGTGCCATTTTATATTCTCGTCAACAGTGTACAAGGATTCCAGTTTTTTTACATCTTATTTATCTTAAATTATTTATGTTTATTTTTATTTTTTGATAGTAGTTATTGGAATGGCTATAAGGTGGTAGACATTTCATTGCAGTTGAATGACAATGTAACATTTTATGAAATTCTTTGTAAAGAAATTTTTTTGGAACACTGTGATTAATACAGGGTTCATTTTGAGGAGTTGAGAATACTGAAAATCTGCCAAGTTATTCTGTGTTATGGATGAAGAAGTAAACCACAGAATGTTGAAAGTTTTATGTGCTGAATGGCTCTCAGGTTAGAAAGCTTATCACACTTGAAATTTAAAGACTTCTTTAGCAGCAGAGATTATGGTATTCTGGCTTGAGTGTCAGCAAAGTAGGTGGGCCAGAGCGTTGCCTAGTGGCCTGTGTATAAGATATTGACATTGAAGTAGTTGAACTTATATACTGTTGATGCTGGCTGTAGTTGGAAAAATGGTGGTACTAGCCCCAGCTAGTAAGAGGAAGCCTTGTCATGAGTTCCAGATGGCAGAATGTGATTTCACAGCACTGACTCTACTGCAGAGTGTCAATTTGAACAACTACTCATTGACAAAAATATAGTCACAAGGAAATGAGAGAATACGCCAGTTTTATGTCATCAGTGCCACCTCGCCTCAACATTGAGCAACCAGTATGAAAAAACACACTGTTCTTGGGAGAAAGAGGTTAAGCACTGGACTTTGTCATGAACCCCAATGCTGAAACTGTCCGTGTAAAACCCAACAGGCTCCTTGGCTACTGACTGACTCTGGTCTGCTATGCACAAAAAGTTTCTATGGCCACTTCAATGCCAGACCAAATACCATAACTGTGAGCTTCAGGCTTGCCTAGAGCCATATCATTCCCTACAGCTCCACACTCTGGCTTGGCCCCTGTGCTTCCATGCTACAACAAGCTCACCACTCATTTCTGTCTTAATAGACTCCAGTGTTTGGCTCTCCCTCTTGAATCCAGGGTCCAGGATCACCCTGTGGATGCTGGTGTTAGGTCAGCCTCTGTGGCTTCAGGGTATAGCATGAACTCTCACCTGTAGGCAGCACCCCCACACCCAGCCTCAGGCTGGCTCCTCTGGAGCCAAGCTATTCATTTGCCTAAGAACCAGACCAGGCCCAAACTTTAGGCCATTCTATGAGACTCCAGGTTCTGGTGGATCCAGAGTGCAGACCTTTCCCAGTAGAACTCTTAACCAGTTTCACACCTACTTACTGAGGCTCTGGGACCTCCCTTGAAGACCTAGGCTCCAAGTCGGCCTCTGTGGTCTCAGGCTTAAGGTTTGTCCCACTGTATTCTGGTTCCAGGTCCATCCTTGCACCTGACTGACTGCCTTCTGTATACTCAAGCTCTAGACCCACCCCAGTTTCAGGTTAGGTATTGTCAAAATTTGAGCATCATACCTAGCCCTCTGTGAATAAAAACTCCAGGTCTCCCTATAGGCCCAGTCGGTAGGTCTCCCACAGTGGATCTAGGCTTTGTATCCAGCCTTATAGACACAGCTCCAGACCTTCTTATGTGCTGACCTAGGAACCAGACTAGCCTCCTCAATAAATGAAGTGGCAGTCCTGTCCATAGAGGACACCAGATGGCATGCTTAAAATCTAAGGATAGACTAGCTGGTAAATTTGTTTCCCAGGTAAAGCTGTCTGCATAGACTAGAGTAAATTCCTATTTCTTCAAATATGCAGACATTAATACATGGCTGCAAAGATCAAGAACAGTCAGAAACCTGATACCACAAAAGGAACAAAATAATGAACCAGTAACTGCTCCTAAAGAAGTGAACATTTATGTGTTGCCTGACAAGGAATTCAGAGTAATTGAAGGAAGCTGAGTGAATTTTAAAAAGGTATAGAAAAGTCATCCCATGAAATCAAGAAAACAATAAATGACTACAATGAGAAATTTAAGCAAAAGATTGTAGTCAGTTTTTTTAAAAGTTCAAAAAAACTCAGAACCTGAAAAATGTAATGAATGAAATAAAAAATGCAGGCAAGAGCATCAGCAGCCACACTGATCAAGTACAACAGCAATATGAGCATGAGATAAATTACTTGAAAATATAACAGGTAATAGTAAAAGAAAAAAAATGAAAAGGAATGAGAAACAGAATTTTGTCGAACAGCTTGCAAAGAAGAAATGTTTTACGACTTCATCAAAGAGACAGCTTAACCACATAATAGTGAGAACTTGGATAGAAAGATAAAAGGTTTGTAATAAGGTTCAGTTGCGATAAAGACCTCATAAAGATGTGTTATACTTTGTAAAAAATTCTGAAAGTGGTAAGAGAAAAGAAGTACTTCATATAAAAAATCGTTGGAATAAAGCTGGGAGCACATATCTCAGCAGAAATCTCACAGGCCAAGGAATCATAGAATATTATGTTTAACCTACTAAGGGTAGAGGGAGGGGCAAAACAAAAAACTATCAAGCAATAATAATTTACCTGGCAAAGCTTACCTTGAGAAATGATGGACAAGTAAAAACTTCAGAGAGAAATGAAAGAGGAGAGAATTTATTATTAGACCTAGGTTAGAAGGAGAGTTCTTTAAAACATGTCAGTAGCATAAGAACTCAGTATAAACTACCATAAATGTAAATACAGACTAACTCAGAAGTAGACAACTTAACAACAACAAAAAAAAACCACAATTTAGCAACAGCAAAAAAAAAAAACAAAAAAAAAGAATTTAACTTTGCAACATCATGAGATCCTGTCTCAGGACAATTTTTAAAAGGGCTAGGGATATAACTCAATGGAAGTCCCTGGGTACAGTCTCAGTAACACACACACACATACTCACACACACACATTAAGAACAATCTGAACTAAACGGATACCAGTAGAAAATAATGCAGCCATGAAAGAACCCATAAAAAGAAGAAAAGGATAAAACAGCCAAAAAAAACCTCTTTATAAAATGACAACAGTACCTTGTTATCTACCAGTAATTGACTTGTATGTAAATAGATTAAATTCTCCAAAACACAAAGCCTGGCTAATAAGAATCAAGTACCATAGATGTTGCCTACATGAGACTCACTTCACCATTCTTAGGACACATGTAAATTTAAACTCAAAAGATATTATGTGGAATGAGAAATCAAGATCGCAAGAATAGCTGCATTTAGATAACAGGAGATAGGAAATAAAGAATATAAAACAATAAAAAGGCTATTATGTCATGACAAAGGAGTCAGTTTATATAACAGTTATACACACTCAACTTTAAGAGTACCTAAAAATACCTAATATATTAAAGCAAATATTAATAAATCTTGAGGA